TGTGGTCTAAATAGGGCATTTTTTCACTGTTTTAGGCCTCAAAAGGGGGGGGGGGGGCAAAAAAGCCGTCGAAACACGCTTATATAAGGAAAAGGTTAACAAAAAATAATGAAAAACCTTGGATTTACGCAAAAACTAGATTTCCCATGTTAACACATGCCCTAACACGAACATTTAGTGAAAGATCGTTGTTTTTTGACATTTTTTTTATATCTTTAATTAACCTTTTACCCCATGAGCATATTGCGAAAAATGACCGTTTTCATTGAAAACAAGCAACAAGCCTCCTGTAACAAGTTCAAACTGCTATGAAACTATGAAAAATGCTTCAATACTAATGAAACTTGGCACAAATGTTGACTACACCATAGCCCCTGTAACAACATGCTCCATGGTAATTAAATTTCCTGTTACCATGGCAACGGGGGGACGTCTCAAAATTGCCAAAAATCACTATTTTGCATTGTTTTTTTTTTCCCATCAAAACTGATTTCAAAGTGCTACAACTTCTCAATGAATTGAGATAGAGTTAAAGGCTTTTCAGCGTCGGATACTAGTTACTCTAAGATCGACCTGAGGCCATTTTCAGCCTGTCACATGTTCAAAATTTTCTTGGTGATGAGGGGGACTCCGCCCCCCCCCTTCAAAGCCCCCAAACAGAAGGGGGCACATCCCCCTGATGTAATATTTGGATGGGGGACGGCGCCGAAAAAGTGGTCACTTTTTTAACAACATTTCTCAAACGGAAAACAGTGTTTGGGGTCTAAATAGGGCATTTTTTCACTGTTTAAGGCCTCAAAGAAGGGGGGGGGGCAAAAAGCCGTCGAAACACGCTTATATAAGGGAAAAGGATATATATCTTAGATGAACAGTATCAGGTGTAGGTTACTTGCATTAGGTCAGATCGTATTGCCTATAATTTACCATCCAGTATCATGTTAGGATTGGGGGCAAATAGAGGCTGATTAAAATAACATTGATAACGATGTTTGAACGAATATTGGATTAGACTGATGATATTTGTATTGCTGTACGTTAAGTATATACACGCAAGTCAAGTTTTATAGATTTTTTCGCCGTCTAATCGCATATTATGCTCAACACACTAACCAAACAACACAGCTTGCAAATAGATCATTTAATACTTTGATAAATACAAGGGATGTCATCTGGAGCCGAAACGGCCATCCGGATATCCGAATCAAACATCCGGATACATCCGGATGTTCGGATCGTTGTTATATTCTTAGTTGGCTGATATGACGTAACCATTTTTTCGCGACCTTTTTCAAAGTGTAGTATTTCGTTTCATTTCCTTTTTAATTGAATGTTACGTATCAAAATAATTTTGGTATTGATTTTATTTTTTCTATATAGAATATGACTGTTATCGATAAATTAAGTGCGTATGATACTTACGATTTCAAATGAAATGAAAATTAAATTTATCGCCGATTGTCTAAATTCCTGAATTAGTGCTATAATACACAATAACACTTGCTCACATTTGTGAAAACAAAATAACACCCGTAAAAAATTAAAAGTTTCCATGCATTGTTCAATAACATGCATACAATTTACAAAGTCAAAAGTCAAATTTCCTTTATTACACACATTTCATGTTAACATGAATAAATGTGGTTAGTAATAAATACAATGTTAGTAGAGGCTCTTTAAACAAATGTACAATGTATAATTATATAATTTGAGTGGTAAAATAATTCGTAAAAAGAGTATTTATTCATATCATTTGCAGAACTGCAGTACGTTCAATTAACAATGTATCAAAACCACAAATTGTTAAAGTTCTTAGTAAATATGTTACCACAAAAAAAACCGTGGAGAGTCACGTAATTTAGACACTCTCTAAGGGTATAATTTCGTTTTATATTACCTTTCTTTTTATTTATCGACAAACGATGAGAATAGTTACAAAAAAGAAAAAGGGAAAAGAAATAATAATATAAACAACTGACAAGTGATGTACAATTATGTACGACACAATATTTTAAACCTTTACAATGACATTTCTAGACTCATACTTATAAGCTAAATGAAAAAAAGTGTCATACTATTTAGACAAATATTATAACAAACAAACACTTTACTATGAGTAATAAAAGATTTATCTGTGAAATATTCGTGTAATAGTCTTGGAATGTAAGTAATTCTTGGAATGTAAGTAATCACATATGAGGTGAATTCTAATTTTAATTATCTTAAAATTATTGTTTTAACAAATTTACATAATTTCAAATATTCGCTCTTGTTTTCTGTATTAATTAGTTGATCTAGTTTGAATGTATTTGCACGTCTGTAATAATAGGGTTTCAAAAATTTCTTTCTTTCATCATTAAGCAAAACACATTCAAATAAGTAATGAAATTCGTCGCCTATTTTATTGTTACAAGAAGTACATGTTCTTTGGTTAATTGGTATTCGGGCCCAATTTCCGGTTTCTATTGGTAATCTAGAATGTAGGACAAAACCCCACCAGTTAAAACCCCACCACTCAAAATTTTATAGAGTGGACAAAACCCCACCACTAAATTTTATAGAGTGGACAAAACCCCACCACTTAATTCTACAGAGTGGACAAAACCCCACCACTTACGTTTTATAGAGTGGACAAAACTTTCTTGTAAACATGTTAAAAAACGAACAATGGTGCATCAGCAGAAACTCGAAAGAATGTGTGAACAACTCATCAATAAGGAGAAGACTGTACCCGAGTTTCTTCAGGCTTCAGCCACAGTATCCACTTAAACTAAGTACAATGAAGTACAATGAACGAAAATTGACTGAACTGAATAAATTAGAAATGTGCTATAAAAATGTGCTATTTTGTAATCATTAATTCATGAAAATGTGCTACATTCTTGTTTAATAGTAAATAGTTTATTTTTTATATAAATAAATTGAAGAAATGAATTTGAACAGAAGAAACTAAAAATAATGAATAATTCAAGGTCATAAATGTGGCACAGTCTCAAATAAATGACTACTCTTTGATGTTTATTTAACAGTTTGTAAATTATTTGTATAATCTCTTATATTACACAAATGTTATATTGAAATTAAAAAATAAAATGTGAAAATGTGTACTGTATATTATATATATTTTAATTCATCAAATCTTGCCCAATAATTGGTAAGTGGTGGGGTTTTGTCCACTCTGTAAAATTTAGTGGTGGGGTTTTGTCCACTCTATAAAATTTAGTGGTGATCTAAGTGGTAATCTATGGTTGGAAGACGGACAAAACCCCACCAGTTAAAACCCCACCACTCAAAATTTTATAGAGTGGACAAAACCCCACCACTAAATTTTATAGACTGGACAAAACCCCACCACTAAATTTCACAGAGTGGACAAAACTCCACCACTTATTAGGCAAGATTTGATGAATTATAATATTTATAATATACACATTTTTTTCACATTTTATTTTTTAATTTCAATATAACATTTGTGTAATATAAGAATGAACAATTTTATTAACAATGCATGTACATCTTGCATGTGCAATATGCAAAAAAAGGTGTTACAAACTGTACACAAAAAACTTAATCCTAATCCCTGAAGAACAAAACAGATTATTTATTGATGTTTTGATTGCAAAAAGGTGTTACAAACTGTAACTCCTTATTGATGAGTTGTTCACACATTATTTTGAGTTTCTGCTGATGCACAATTGTTTGTTTTTTAACATGTTTACAAGAAAGTTTTGCCCACTCTATAAAACTGAAGTGGTGGGGTTTTGTCCACTCTGTAAAATTTAGTGGTGGGGTTTTGTCCACTCTATGAAATGTAGTGGTGGGGTTTTGTCCACTGTATAAAATTTTGAGTGGTGGGGTTTTAACTGGTGGGGTTTTGTCCTACATTCCTATGGTTACGTGTACGAAATTTTATCATGTAACGAAGAAAAGGTTTAGGAGTTGATAAAAGGTATTTTTCGAAATTAAATTCTTTTTTGAATATTCTGTAGAATGTACTTTTGCTGGAGTTTTGAATAACGGAATACCAATCATTTAGAAAAACATCTTTTAGTTTCTGTCTAATTGCTAATTTCAACCACCGTTCGTTTCCAAAATTTTGTGTATCCCATATATTACATAAACCGCAATTTATAAAAATTTGTCTTAAGTTTGCAATCCAAGGCTCAAATTATTTTCACTTAAGTTTTTTGAAAGATTATATGTAATATTGTATAATAGAGACGACAATTTCTTTTGATGATTATTTACATCGTGCTTTTTTAATCTAGCCCAAAGCATGATTATTCTTTACACACGATGACCTTTGACAGGTGTGTAGCCGGCTTTTCAAAAGAATCTGCCAATCTCTGATGTTTAACATGTAGACCTGGCTGTTTGATTCGAATCATCAAAGAAGTTGCCGAAATTTACATTAATTACACATATTTTAAGTGTTCATAAGTGAAAAAAACTGTGAAAAAATTGTTTTTAAAAAAAAGGCACATGTTTGATTTATACTAAAGGAGAAAGATATTTTGACGGATAATTATTGTATCAATTTTAATAAAAGCTGTGATAATTGACATATAACTATTCGTAAGTGCATTTCTTTATTTGCTAATTTTATTTCTGCAGATTTTTTATTTTCTCAAAATAAGGAGTCGACGGCTCGGTAAGCCGAAATATATATAGAAATAATTGCCTAATTAATTATTTAAATTCTGACATAAACAATGTAAAATCGTTGCCGATGACAATCGCACGGGACTTAGAATATTCATCTTGAATCCTACAAAACTTAAATTTGTTTGGTGTTTAACATACTAGTACATGTAGATTAACAACATGTGTCATACACGACTCGTAATTTTTATAGTAATTATTGATTTTTTTGTGGTCTGCAGAGATTACGATGTGTATTGTCAAATTAAAGTACAATATGCAATATGGTGTCAACACCATGTCTACGTTGATTATCTCAACGCATGTTCATGTATTTTTCACATTTTCTAAATATTCTGAAACATTTTATACAAACATCCGGATCCGAAAATCGGCTCCGGACACCGAATCGTGATCCGAACGTTCGGATATCCGGACTCCGAATGACATCCCTAAATTATTAAATACGTTAAAAATAAGTTAAAAGCACATATAATATGTCAATGGTTTAGCAACTCGATCTATTTGAAACAGGAAGTTTTGTTCATAAACGCTTATATGTTCCCGGATACTGTCCTTCTTCGTCTCCTTATGATTATAAACACAATGGTTGCGATGATTCCTATCAGGACAGCAACAATTAATACAGCGCCCCCTGTAAAAAAAATTGATACGTTTATGTTATTGTATATTGATATAATCTTCTAGAGATAATAGTTAAAATGTCTGATGATTTCATGGTTCACATGATTGTAAACAAATACTCCTTATGTAAAATGAAATGTGCTTCTTCAGGAATACGTAAATAAATCGTCTAAAAGACTACAAGTTATCATTGAATGGTTGATTTAAAAGATTTTTAAAAAATTATTAATCTTTATCACTAATATTAACAACACAAATGAGCCGCGTCATGACAAAACCAACATAGTGCGTTTGCGACCAGCATGGATCCAGACCAGCCTGCGCATCCGTGCAGTCTGATCAGGATCCATGCTGTTCGCTTATAAACCCTATTACAAGTAGCGAATCTGATAGCGAACATCATGGATCCGGATCAGACTGCGCGGATGCGCAGGCTGGTCTGGATAAATGCTGGTCGCTAATTAACGGAAACTGATGCATTCATCAAAACTATCACAGATACTGTTTGCTTTCCATTGTGACGTCATATTATATACTCACAAAATGTTTGTATGGTTTATAAATAATATAAAGATCATCAAAGTATATTTACACCAAGGGAAGCTTGTTGACGTGGAAGAGATACATGAAGTACTGAAACCTGTCGCTGTACTTGTACAACAACAATTTTTAGGCTGTCCCGTCTTTTTACTGCAACAGTACCCATCTGTAATATGTACATGTTATTACTTAAATAAAGATACAACAGTTACATGTATGACAAAAAATGACAGCTATTGAAAGTTAACATAATAATTATAAAATACAACCATTAGATTTGATTACAGAGATATCAAAGAAATCTCGTTACATAATTAAACTTGTTATTTTTTGTGGGTTTTTTGTGTGTTTTTTAAGAAATAAAGTCAATGACAGCAAATAAAATGAACTTGATTTCGCTACGATAATACATACCTTTACACGGAGTTTGACCACACGTTTGACAATACTGAAAGACGTAAAAATTAATAAAAAAAACACTTAATTTAAAGCATGATTCATGTATTTTAATACGTGTATATGATATATCAACTGAATAATAGTCTAGTTATGGTTGAAATCAGAAGCGACATTTTAAAGGGACTCCACTGAGGTTTAAAAGCCTAACAACATAACATTTGAATTTACTACATTAATGAGCTGGGGCACTTAAAACAGAAATATATGCAAAGATAGTTAAGAAATATATTTGAAATAAATTGAATATCGTATTTTTATGATTTTCTTAGCCTTTGAGTGAAAAGTGTTTAAACGCTTTCCATTTTGGGTCATTTTTTTCCGATTTGAATAATTATTCTGGAAAAACGAAGTGCGCGAATGATCTGAAATTTTGCACAAAGATCAGTGGTCTAAACATACATCAAATGGCACATTTAGCTGGAAAAAATATTTTCATTCCCATCACGTCAAAAAACCTTGAGTGGAGTCCCTTTAATGTTAAATGTTTGGTATAAATGCATTAGTATAGAAACCTAAGTAAGTGATGTCATGATACATGCTTAATTTAGTTCATAAGTAACTAGTTTCTTAAGAGTTGAGAATGTTTTTCTATATATAAACTTGAAGTCCGACAAAAATTGGAAGAATAATTTTCAAAAAATAGTAATCAAAGTAAACTTACTGCAGAATAAAATAGCGATGATACCATACAAAAATATATCAATGTCTGACGAGAAAGTACCTCCATTTCACTGTTTATCTTTTTTACAATGATATAACGATATATACTTATTTTAAAACTGGACACTCCACGACGTTAACTAGTATAGAGTACACCGACGATTAATGTTATTGTTAAACTGATCATGTAAACAAATTAGAACATGTAAACCCCTATTGGCAAATTCGGGTAGTATGGAGAGGGTGATATATTTAACATAATTTTCTTTTTGATTTTTCAGATTTTGTCATATTCAAATTTATCATTATTTTCAAATAGTACTTATTGTGCTGGTACTTTTTTTGAAGAATGGCTGAAACGATTATTTTATATTGCATTATTAAATATCTTGTTGATACAACACCTTTAATTAATATAACTATAAACCATTTTACAGTGGCTTGTTGTGTCTTGTTTGTGCGGCGCTAGCCACAGACGCTTGGGGGTCAGATCCTGCCCCCCCCCAACGTGATACGCCCCTGTAAACACTCTATCAAAACAATTTTAATATTTAAACACGAATGGGACATCTATTACAACGATAAAAATGGTTTTCAAACACTTTTTACATATATGAAAAAATACCGTATACAATGTACCATCAAGTCTCAATGAAGTATTAAAAATAAATGAGTTAATAATTAATAAATTTGTTTTAAATAGACCGAATTTTAACATGACTGAGTTATTTTAATAATATGAAACAGTCACGTGATCAATGGTTAGACATGTTTTGTGCGCTCTGAAAAAAAAATGGATCAAAAAATGGATTTAAAGTTATCTTCATTAAACAATCTTGTTAATTTTGTTGCTAGGATAATGTATTTTTTTGCGCTGAATGTTTTTGGATTATCTATTTGTGAGTTATGACTGGTAAAAAGGATAAGAAAAAGAAAAGAAAGTGCAGTGATGGATCTTTGAAAAATGGCGGTGAGCGAAAATCAGGTCGCTTTACGTCTACCCCAGATGAAGTTGTGGTTAGTAACATTTTAAAGGAAAATTGAAAATTTGTTTTCAAATTTAAGTTTTATGAGTAAATAATACTTACCCGACAGTACCATATGGATTCCTTCCGTTAATTTCTCACAATTCGCTAAACTATTAACACCGGAAGTAAGCTCTTCAATTAACTCCCCTTACTTCCGCCACGTGTTAAAGATGTCAGTTTCAAATGAGGCGACCAAATCGCCCTGAAACTTTAACAGAGAGGGGTAGGTTAGGGTGGGTAGTGTACTGTCGGGTAAGTATTATTTACTCATAAAACTTAAATTTGAAAACAAATTTTCAATTTTCATTTCGTAAATAAACTTACCCGACAGTACCATATGGATTAACCCAGATTAAAAAGCAGTACTGAAAGGAGGTGGGTAGTTAAGTTTCAAAAATATCTATTACATTCATTAATAAAACATAAACTTGTTTTAATATCAATGAAAAATAGACACATTAAACACTTACCTAAAGTGTTTCCCAATATTTCCACACCATGTTAAGTAAAACAATACCAGTTGAACATGTATAACTGCTAACCCACTATTTACAGTTGCACAACAATATATATAAGTTCATCCCAACTGTACAAGAATAACCGTAAATACTCAAATTTACAAAAACATCCAGTCGCAATTCGCCGGAAAAACAGAGTTTGTACACACCACCTTGGTGAAAAACAATAACTTCTGTAACAACATTTACTTGAAATCCAAAACACTTGTATCTACGTTTTTGAGATAATGTTTAATGAAGGTGGTCTCTGAAGACCAATCTGCCGCATCCAGTACCTGATCCAACGACGCACCTTTGAACAATGCCCAGGAAGGCCCAATACTTCTAGTCTGGTGACCTTTAATTTTTCCAGTAGATTTCTTACTCATTTTGTAAGCATACTTAATAATATTAACTAACCATTTAGAAATAGTCTGACTTGTCACTGGATGATGAGGTTTAATAACACTTAAGAAAAGTTTAAGTTAATTTTTAGAGTCTTTAACTCTAAAACTTTCAGTCTTTTTCAAGTAATAAGTCAAAGCCCTCTTAGGGTCTAAAAATTTTTCCCTCGAAAAAGATGGAATGAAAATCTTTCTTGAATGATGACTTGGTCTATCTTGTTTTGCTAAACCTGAACGTATAAAAGTTATTCCTTTCTTCTGAATGTTTATGTTACCTTCTCCCAAATACAAGGCTTGAAGATCACTACAACGACGAAAACAGGAAATAGCTATCAAAAAACACACCTTCCATGTAATAAACTTCAAAGATGCGTCCTTCATCGGTTCAAATGGTGGCTTCTTCAGGCATTCTAAAACAAGAGGTAAATCCCATTCAGGAACTAATTTTCTAATAGGTGGACGTTCATTAAAAATGCCTCTAAGAAGGCGAATAATAAAGGGGTGCTGACCAATCTGAAATTTTTCCACAGGAGGTAAAATTGATGAAAGCATAGACCGATAACCTGTAATAGTCTTATATTTTAACCCTTGGTCATAAAGGTAAGTCAAATATTCAGCACAATCATTCAAAGAAGCTGAAAACGTATCAATCTGTTGTCTACAACACCAATTACTGAATTTTCTGAATTTGCAATTATAATCTCTTCTTGTACCTTTTCGCCATGAGGCGACAAGTAAATTTCTTGTTCTTTCAGAAAATCCCTTTGATCTGAAGACTTTGTCGATAGAAGCCATGCAGTCAACTTTAGACTCTGAGGATTTTGATGAAATATTCTCCCCTTGTATTGTGACAATAGATTCTGTGACACATATTTGAGTTTTATTGGTTTTGCTATCAACAATTTCAACAGCTGTGGGAACCAGTGCTGTCTTGGCCAATTTGGGGCTATCAAAATCAGTCTGCACTTGAATAATTTCATATGGTTCAAAACTTTCGGAATTAGCTGTATTGGCGGGAACGCATATGCATACATGTTCTGCCATACAATAGACAGGGCATCCAATGCAAACGCTTGGGTTGTGGAAGCCATGAGCAAAACAGTGTTGTCTGTTTGTTCTCTTGAGTTGCAAAGAGATCTATCAGAGGTTTGACCCCAAATATTGAAAATTTTGAGACGTCACTGTTTTGTTCAGACTCCATTCTGTATCCCTCACTTCCTGTCTGCTCAGAAAATCTGCCAGAAAATTCAATTTCCCCATTATGTGAACTGCTTTCAACACAATATTGTGATTCAATGCCAGTTCCCATAAACTCCCAAGTTAACAGACAAAGTGTAGGGCAACGAGTGCCCCCCTGGCGATTTATATACTGACACACTGACGTGTTGTCCGACCGTATCAATACATTCTTGTTTTTCAGAGCAGACAGAAAGTGGCGGACTGTCAGAATTACCCCCTTCATTTCTAAAATGTTTATGTGTAGTAATTTTTCCATCTTTGACCAACGGCCTTGCACTGTAAAGTTGTTCATGTGACCGCCCCAGCCCCAAGTCCCACTCGCATCGGTGGTGACAGATACTGGAAAGGAAATCTGTTGAACAGATCTCCCTTTAGAATGTTCTGATCCTGTAACCACCAATGGAGATGATATCGTAGCATAGGAGTTAAGGGTATATTGAAACTTAAAGGCATTCTTGCCGGACTCCAAGTCTTGAGCAAATGAAGCTGTATGGGTCTCATGAACAACTTTGCATTTGGAATTAAGTCTAGACAAGAGGCTATCATACCCAACACAATCATATATTGTTTTGCTGAAATCGAGCCTTGTAACAATTTTAGAACTGCATGTTTCAGGTTTGTAATTCTCTCTTGTGTTGGATAAACTAACCCCTTTGTCATATCGAATAGGCCGCCTATGTAAGTGAAAATCTGAGAAGGAACTAAAGAGGATTTTTTCTTGTTTACTATTAACCCTAGTTGAAAAAGGAGATCTAGAATAATCTTTCGATCTGACATCATCTTTGAAAATGTCCGATTGGCAGCTAACCAATCGTCCAGATAAGATGTTAGAAAAAGACCTTGTTGTCTGAGATGTGCTACTATGACGGACATTATTTTGCAAAACACCCTTGGAGCTGATGTTGGGCCGAAGCATAGCACTCGAAATTGGTACACCTGACCTTTGAAACAGAAACGAAGATATTTTCTGTGACCCTTGAACATTTTTACATGAAAATAACCGTCTTTCAGGTCCAGATTTATTGCATAATCTCCTTTTTGAACTAGGTTTAGAACTTTTGGCATAGTATCCATTTTGAAGTGAGTTTTCCTCAAATACCGGTTCAATGGCTTTAAATTTATTACAGGTCTCATTTCCCCATTTTTCTTTGGAACTAGGAACAACGTACTGTAAAAACCTGTAAGAATCTGAGATTTGTCTACTATTTCTATAGCGTTTTTCAATAAAAGTTCTTCTATTTCTTTTTGAATTAAATTTTCTTGATCGAAAGGTACTTTCGTCTGTTTTATTCCCAAGAAATGTGGAATTTTTAGAAATTCTAGTTTGTAGCCATTCTGAACTACATCTAGAACCATTTGTCTGTTGTTATTTTCTTCCAATTTTCTAAAAAGAATGAAATTCGACCACCTACCGGAATTTGAGGAAAACGTGCTAGAGTACTTACATGGTCATTGTTGAGTTGATCTTCCCATTTTCCTTCCATATGAACGTTTTGGAAAGAAATCGGGCTTGGAATTTTTCTTGTACTGTCCAGTGAAATTTTGCCCCTTGGTATGACTATCTGATGGAATCTTGGGGATACGAAAATTATTGTCCCAGCCACTGCTTGTTTGCGTTGCTGGAATGTCCCTACGTAAACGTTTAGTGTCATTTGAAGAACGAACAGGTGAGAGCCTTCTTTTCCTGTCTCTCTTTTTCAGCTCAGGTAACATATCATCTAACTGTTTCTTTTTGTCCTTCCGTGCCTTTAATAAAGGTTCAAGTCCATTACCAAAAACACCATCACCAGTTAAAGGTAAAGTAGCAAAAATCTTTGTAATCGGAAAGATCATACATGCCTGTATCTGCCATAGTTTACTGTACGACGTACAATGTGATGAAAAGCTGCGGAGCGACCCAATTGATCAAGGCACTTCGTGGACATAGCAAAAATGTCTTTAACAAATTTCACTGTTTTGTCTTTTGAAAATCATCAGAAGAAACAAATTCAACCAAATTTCCCAAAGCTTGTTGCATATAAAGTTGCATAACAATACCTAAACGAGCTGCTTGGGCTCCACGG